GATCACGCATGTTTGCTAACTAGTTTATTGTTGGCACGGAGTACGATGTAAGTGTTTACGCTTTAGCATCCCGCATGCGTGTGAATGTTGCCATGACAGCATGTTTACCATGTGCTAGATGCTTATGTGATAAAATGTTTTGAATTGCCTTGCTGGCGTGGAATCTTGTAATTTCTGACTAGAAGATGAAATTTGAGAAGTCTAGTTTCATGATAAATTTTTAGATTATGGATTTGATCTATAAATTTAAGCATGGAATTAATGTAAGGAAATGTGACGAATCTGTGTCAAAAAAAAATTGCTGGGAATTTTACAGGATTATTTACACCTTCTTTTTCTGAAATTCTTTCTGAAAAGTGACCTAAACATCCCTATTGCGTATTCTGTTTAATTGCATGAATTTTAGAATTGTGTAAATAATTTATTTATAAATTTTAATACCGGGTATTCAGGGTGAGCCCTGGTTTTTAATAATTTTTAAGTAAATTGTGTCGTGAAACCCTAAGTTGGCACGAGGATTATTTGAACCCTTATCGGTATTTGGTTTTGGAATAAGGGTGGAAATGCGGGTGGCACGCAGGGAAGTTACGTACCCCTGGCAGACCGTTCCCTTGGGGCAGACCACGGATGTCACGGCTTGGGTATATAACTCCGGGTGTGGATATCTTTGGTAGTTCTTGAATATTTGACCAAGGGTGGGTTTCCAAATTAATCGTGGCCATGACTTAGTGGTTGGTAAGTTAAACCTCTTTGGCGAGATTTCAAAGGTCATCTAAGTTATTAAAATTATTGGAGGTATTTTAATGGTTGTAATTTATGTTTACGATTATATTATTATCTCGTGTTTATAATCTCATTATTTTCTCTAAAAAAGAATGGTAGGTTGGTTATGTTTTCTTACTGTGTTGCAAAACTCATGACATATATTTTGTTCCCCTGGCGTTTCATGCCAGATTATGTCGAAGAAGGGACTGAGGCTGAAATTGGAGCTACTGCTAATATCGAACCTTGGCTAACTTAGAGTCAAGATTTTATCAAAATAAAATCCTGTTATTTCTTGTATTAGTGTTTAACTATGTTGTGACGTTGTGTGTGAACTTTTAGTTTTATTTTGTTGTTGGACTTTGACAATGTAAGAATTTAAAATTTTCTAATTAGTAGTTAAAATTTTATCTAGCAAGTTATTGTTATTTAATTCTTATGACGTTTCAAAAAAAAATTTGGGGCGTCACATTTGGATTGTGGAATGATTGATAAAATATGTATTGTTTTGTTTATATACATACTACATGTTGCATGAAATATAGACAGGTTGTGAAGAAATTACAATTTTGTGATAAAACATAAAATCATTTTTTGGCGACTAAACAATTCGTACTCAAAAGGGAAGTACATATTTTAGTGACTAAAATGTTAGTAGCTAAAAATAAATTACAAATTTCGGAAAACAATTATGGTGACTACAAAGGTTAGTGCCCACAAAAAGCAAACATTAGGTGATTAAAACTTAAAAAATAATCAGACATTTGGCGACTAAAATGTTTTGTAGCCAAAAAACAAAAAGCATTTGCCGACTCTAAGTTTAGTAGTGAAAAATGTGAGACTTTAGCCAACTAAATGTTTAGTAGGCAAAACAAACTATTTGGCTACTAAAAGTTTAGTAGCCAAAAAAGTCAGACTTTTAGCGACTAAAAAATTGGTAGGCAAAAAGAAAACCAGATTTTAGGCGACTAAAATCTTAGTAGCTGAAAACAATCTAACATTTGGCGACTAAAATATTTTGTAGCCAAAAATACTTTGATGAACAAGAAAAACACTCTTGCCGACTACAATTTTAGTAGTCAAAAAATGTGACACTTTAGGCGACTAAACTTTTAGTAGCTAAAACACAATCACACTTTAGGTGACTAATATATTTAGTAGCTAAAAAAATAATAGGAGGAACCAAAAAAAATTTTAGCGACTAAATCTTTAGTAGCTAAATATAAGTAACATTTTTCGCGACAAATATTTGTAGTTGCTAAAAAGGTGATATTTAATTTTTTTTCAATACTTTTAGCGACTTAAAAATTAGTTGGCATTGCATTATTTTTAGTGGCTAAAATAATTTTGGTCGCCAATTACCTTCCCCGACAATCCTTCAGCGACTACTCTTGCGACCAAAATATTTTGTCGCTAAAAATGTTTGGCGACTAAAACATGGCTTTTGGCGACTAAAAATTTAGTTGCCAAAAGTGTAAATTCTTGTAGTGATACCCGCTATGTTAAAGTGTCACATTTGAAAAAAGTACATTAAAGAGTTTTTAATTTTTTTAGAGTGTCACATCATACCCACCACGTTGGAGTGTCACATGTTACGTTTGGAAAAAGTACATTAAGGAGTTTTTAATTTTTTTATAGTGTCACATCATACTTGCCACGTTGTCACGTTTGGAAAAAGTACACTAAGGAGTTTTTAATTTTTTTTAGAGCACCACATTATATCCGCCACATTGTCACGTTTGGGAAAGGTACACTAAAGAGTTTTAATTTTTTTAAGAGTGTCACATCATATTCGTCACGTTGTCACGTTAGAGAAAAGTACATTAAGGAGTTTTCATTTTTTTTGAAGCGTTACATCATACCTACCACGTTATCACATTTGGGAAAAGTACACTAAGAAACTTTTATTTTTTTGGAGTAAAAGTTTTAGAGTGTCACATCATATCCGTCACGTCACATTTAGAAAAAGTACACTAAGAAATTTTTAATTTTTTTGGAGTGTCACATTAATACCTGCCATATTAGAGTATCACATCATATCTGTCACTTTAATAAAAAGGTATATCTGTCCACCAAAACACTACCAAAATAAAAAATAGGACTACACGGAAAAAAATTCTCTATTGATAAGATTTAAAAGATCAATAGAAAAAATTTGGGACTAATCGGAGTACTTGTTTGTGAGATGAGATTTATTGATAAATATTCTTTTTTTTTTATACATTTTTTTTTATAAAAAATTAAAAAAATATATTCGTTTGAGGGAGATTTACCAATAAGTCTCATATTTTGGACTTGTAATCCATATAGTCTCATATTTTTTTCTGGTGATCCATTGAGTCGTTTTGGACGTGTAATGACTTATTTGTTCGCCACGTTGGAGTGTCATATTTGGAAAAAAATATGCTAAAGGTTTTTTAATTTTTTTAGAGATTTACATCATACCAGTCATGTTGGAGTGTCACATGTCACATTTGGAAAAAAATACACTAAACAGTTATTATTTTTTTAAAGTGTCACATCATACCTGTCACGTTGTTTTATTTGAAAAAAGTACACTAAAGAGTTTTTAAGTTTTTTAAAATGTCACATCATACCCGCCATATTGTCACATTTGAGAAAAGTACACTAAGTAGTTTTTATTTTCATTTTTATTTTTTTTTAGAGTGTCACATAATACCTGTCACGTTATCATATTTGGGAAAGGTACACTCGACATGTTGTCACATTTGGAAAAAGTACATTAAGGAGTTTTTAGTTTTTTTAGTGTGTCACATCATACTCGCCACATTATCATATTTGAGATAAATACACTAAGGAGTTTTTAGTTTTTTTGGAGTAAAAGTCTTAGAGTGTTACATTATACCCACCTCGTTATCACATTTGGAAGTACACTAGGAAATTTTTAGTTTTTTTGGAGTATCACATTGTTAGAGTGTTACATTAATATTTGTCATATTGAGGAAAAGTACACCTGACATGTTGTCACATTTGGAAAAAGTACACTGATAAATTTTTATTTTTTTAGAGTGTCACATCATACTTGTCACGTTGTCACATTTGAAAAAAATACAGTAATGAGTTTTTAGTTTTTTTTAGAGTATCACATCATATCCACTACATTGTCACATTTGAAAAAAGTACAGCCGACACGTTATCATATTTGGAAAAATTATACTAAGAAATTTTTAATTTTTTTTAGAGTGTCACATCATACCCGCTACGTTGTCATATCTAAGATAAATACACTAACGAGTTTTTAGTTTTTTTGGAGTAAAAGTCTTGGAGTGTTATATGATGCACGCCACGTTATAATATTTGAAAAAAATGCACTAAGAAATTTTTAATTTTTTTTAGTGTCACATCATTGGAGTGCTACATTAATATCTGTCACATTATACCTGTCACATTAATGAAAGGATATAGTTGTCCACTAAAACACTAGTAAAATAAAAAATAAGACTAAACAGAAAGAAACTCTCCACTAATAAAACTTAATAGATCAACAGAAAAAATTTGAAATTAATTGAAATACTTATTTATGAGATGAGATTTTTTAGTAAATATCTTTTTATTTAAATCATCCAAAATAATTCTTAAAATAACGAAAAAGACAAAAGGCAACAAAAGCGGAGTTGCGGCCGTGATATCTCTCTCTCTCCTTTCTCTCTACACGTTTGAATATACGTTTGAATATACACGTTTGAACATACCTGTCACCTTATTAGTATATAAATCTTTTTGTTTTTTCTCGTATTAATTGAGTAATGGACGAATAGATATATAATTTTGGCCCATTTTAGCAATAAAAAAAAATCATCTCTTTTTTTTTTGAATTTTCTTGTTTTTAGTGATTTTTTTTTTTTCAAAATTATGATAGAATTTTGTTGAGATGAATTTAAAAAGTATATTTTATTTATTTATTTTTTTTAAAAAAAAATCACTAAAGATGCAAATAAGCTAAAAAGATTGCTTATTTTTGTTATTTCTGAATTTTTTATAATTATAATTTTCCGGTTCTATCTGGTTAAGCTGAATCTAGAAACTAAAACATTTAATTTTTTTTTTTTAAAAAAAAAGTTCACTACAATTAAACTAAGCCAAAAAAAAAAAAGGCTAGCTGATATCTTACGTGTGATTTGCATAATGGATTGAATTTTGATTTATATAATATATTAAAAAAAAAAATTGAGTGCTCATTGTCAAATGTGAATTGAAAGGCGTCACGTATTCTATAAGAGAGTCCTTGGGTCGGTCGCAACTTCATTGTTCTCAAACCCGGCAGCCAATATTGCTCTTTTGATTTATATACCAGAACATTTTGTAATCTGCATCATTGAAAGGTTTTGTATCCAAATCTTCAAGATATAAAGGTATTTTGTAGAAAATAGTATTCAGATTAAACCTTTTGAATTCATTTTTTTTTTGTTGTTGTTGCAATAAATTGTATTTTCTGCGAAAGACTCGACTCAGTTTGATTGCTTTGGAAATGGAAAGAAAAAAGAAGAAGGAAAACAGAAATCGAATTTCGGATGTGTTTTGGTTCAAAATTTCAATCTCGTTTTTATCTGAATCGTTTTCTCAGCAACCGAACATGTACTAAAACGCCTTTTCCGCTTCCTGTTGTGTTTTAGAAACAAGTAAACCATAAAAAGATGGTTTATGAACATTTTCTCAGCAACCAAACAAAATTTCAGTATCGTTTTATGTTGTGTTGGAAACAGTAACCTAGACAGTTATATCCCCTGTATGTAGACATTTTCCTTCATTTTCTTGGGAACCAAACACTCATTAAACTTTCTCTTTTTGTCCAGAGATGGGGTATGTCAACGATGGAGGAGGAGAGGGAATCAGGCGGAGAGGTTGCACATTCTCAAAAGGCGATTTTCTCCCCGAAGAATCGTTCCAAAGCTGGGCCAACTACGGGAAGGCTCTGAAGCAAACTCCGGCGAGGCTGATGGACCGAGTCTTGACTCGGTCACTCGACTCGACCGAGTTGGAAGTGAAGGCTCGGAGCAATAACGAGATGAAGAGGACTCTTACTTGGTGGGACCTCATCTGGTTCGGCGTGGGTGCTGTGATCGGCGCCGGAATCTACGTCCTCACCGGACTTGAGGCCAAAACCGTTGCTGGACCTGCCGTCGTCTTGTCCTACTTGGTCTCCGGCGTCTCCGCCTTGCTTTCTGTTTTCTGTTACACTGAGTTCGCCGTGGAGATTCCTGTTGCAGGTTTGCTATCTCACTTCTCACATTCTTTTTAATTTTTTTTTACATGAATTTTAAAAAATAAAATAAAAATTAAGGTG